GCAGCCACAGGTGCCGATTTGCCACAGGCCAAATGTAGCTTTATAGCCAAGTCCTTGTTCAAGAATTACTCAAAATGTGGATGACTTCTCTCATCGAGAATAATTATCGTCGTCAATCGTGGTAGTAAATGCAAGTTTGACTTATCTACAATTCCACACTAAATGGGGTTTCGGAAAGACCTGATCTGTCTTGAAAGGCACTTATGCTCTGGCATCCGCTGGTATCATTTGCTGTGTCTCGCCATGATGCACTCGAATCGGTCTCGTATCCCTCTTGAGTTGCTGATAAGACACAAGCGAGGTCGAAGCATCACTCCAATCGGAGTAAGAAAACGTTTTCGGAGGCAAGACTACATAAAGGCCCATTTATATGATTGTGGTTGCGCCTCCATTGGGGATGCCTAAATCACCTAAAGCTATCCAGGGTGACAAGTTCATGATGGGGATTTGTTGTTAGTTTAGATTTCGGTTTCTATCATATTATTAAACTAGTATGTGTAGTATGAGATCATTTGAGGCAAAAAATGTTTGCATGCATATTGCCATTGAATAATTTAACCAATTTTTTAAATTACAACCTAGTCGGCCTAGATCGCTTAAGATTATTTAAGGATTCATAGTTGATTTTTTGCCAAGATCAGATGAGTGGGCTTCAGAATTCAATTGTCTCCTAAAAGCTTATCTCCTCCAGACTGGAATGGACTGAAGTTTCGACCTCACCTTAACTGGCCTCATCAGCATTCCCAACTAGCTTTGAAGCTAGCTCTTGAATATCATTGCGACGTTTACTACATCACCACATGATCATGAATACTAGTGACTCACAGGGCAGATGCAACATCCTAAACATGTTAACCTTCCAAATCGCATTTTGAAGTGGGATTGCCGATTATGCAATCTGCGATGTTACTTAATTTCTATATGAGTAGTTTTCTTGAATATAAGTAATTATTGAATAAGAACTTAGTCGTTCCAGGTCACTTAAGGTAATTTAAGGGCTGAGAATTGAGTTTTTCTCAAACCTTGGGATATCCTTTTATTCAGGTTAACCTCGTTTGAAAATTTATATTTTTTTGCTAATATTACCAACTTTTCACTTTTGTTTCTGAATTCAAAAGGATGACAAAAAAAGAGGAGTCTGGTAGATACAAAGTCTTGGGTAGAGCCGAAGAGACTGCCCAATTGGATGAGGGAAGTGAGGGCTACTTCGAGGAGGATGGGGAGGAGGAGGTCGAGGACAGGAGGCAAGAGGGTTGCCATAGCGAGGGTATCAGCTTTTACAATGACACGGACGAGGTCGACGTGGAGAATGAAGATGCTGACGATGACGACGACATGGATGATGAGGACAAAGATGACGAGTACGATCAATCGTCAGATCCAGAATTGAGCACTGCCATCGCTTCCAGAAGCATCATTCTCCCTATCTCCATGCGGAGAGAGGACGCTGGGTCACAAAATTCAGTTGAGGAGATGGATTCTTTTACAACATCATCGGCAATGAAACAGGGTCGCCTGCATTCAGTACCGATTAAGTCTGAGGAGCGAGATAAATTAATAGCTTCGCGATGCCTGAAACTAATGGCCAGTGGCACATCGTTCCAGCTCCTTTCGACTCTTGTAAGTTTACCAAAAGTATTGTTGTCGTGATTTAACAGGCGTAATTCCTTTTCCACTCACTTAGATAAATATAGGCTCTTGAGTCAAAGTGCAGTAAATTTAAATGAAAATGTGTGTTTGCTATTCGACTTGGCTAAACGGGATGGCAGATTCTCTCTAGACTTCTGCTTTTAGATTTTGCAATGATTTGTAGGTTTTTGTATGGTTACAGATCTGAGTCAACCTAAATCTCTCAGAAAAACCAAACAGCAGCAGACCAAAAAGAAGCGATCCAATGCCGCCTTTAGTTCAGATTTATACACAAATCTCTTCCCCACACACTTGTAAATCATAATAAAGTCAGCCTAATTATGATGAAGCATGGTTTTTTTAGGAATATCCTCTTTCCCTGATTATTAATGTTAAAGCAAGGAATCTCAGCATAGATACATCTAGGTTGAATTTTACTATAGAATTTCAAGAAAATCTTTCTTCGAGTTCTATCGAGATTGATTTACAGGTAAATCTTAAATGCAATATTCTTTAGGTCTCCATCCAAACCAAACCATGATTCCCCTCCACGTAACCTTCCATGCGAAATGAAATTTCCATTAACATGAAACTCCTAAGGATTATATTTAGGTTACGTTTTGCAACTCACAGGTAGTACCAAAAATATTGAGAAAATGATAACTGTTAAAGCCTTTTTTATTCGTTATATTTAAGGAAAATATGACCAGTTTTAATAAAGGGCTCAAAGAATGAGGTATGAAGCTCAGATTTATTTCGCTGGATAGAATTGATCTTACCTCATTTTTGCAACTTGGCCATGTTGCCAGGGCGACCTCGAAGAATTCACCTTGTCCGGCTTTCTTTGCCATATTGGTAATGATAATTTCCGGAGCGGGACTACAAACTTAATACAGTCTCCAAAAGAATGCCACGTCCACTGTCCAATGCTGGAAAGTTTCATAATCACTATGTTAGACGACACTGGACAAGGTATGTTCTTTGTGGTCACCCTGACAACATGAGTAAGTGCGAAAACAAACTAAGATTAATTCGATTAAGGTATGTTATATTTTCCAATATGCTAACATTACTAAAGAGGTGGTTAAATGCAAGAAAATGATGTAGCTTAGCTGTTTTTTCCGGCTTGTGTATTGTAAGAGTTCAAGTCAATACTTTATGGTTGCATAAGGCAGCATAGAAAAACACATTACGAATGGATGGACAAGTTCGAACCAGTAAAATTCCTGATCAACACGTGCTGTAGGATGGAGTCAGGTTAGGTGAAAAATATACATATTCTATGTGACAAAATAATAATAAACGAAAAGATTTGTAGCTGCAGTATGCCGAATATATTAAATGGCTTCCCGTCATGTATATTTCGATTTGTAAACAACTGCCACAATTTAGCTCCCAATTACTTGGCTCTCAATTAACCCTAAATAAGCCTCCATCACTCATCATTAAGCCTTGCTTGCCATGGCCTCCGAAAACCGCTTTGTAATCATTCTTGTCGTTGAGCCTTCCAGTTGCCATCCCTTGCTAATCCTGCAGTATTTGGATTGAACCAGGGTCCATTTCCAAGCAGTTCTTTGGCCACTACTGGACACTGTAATCGTTCAAAATTATCGTTGTTTTCATTTTCTATTTAGCCATGAGCCAAAACGATCTCATTTTGCCTCTTTGGACAAAGTCTGGCAAAAACGTGTCCTTATTCGTCACTCTCATCATTACGACAAACCACTCTGTGACATCGCCTCGTGACCTCGTTTCTCGCTTGCCTCGTCTCGACTTTTGCTTATTAAAACCCTCTCGTCGTTCATTCATAAATCACATGTATTCATCCTATTTTGTTAAGGTGCTGAAGAACTGGTAGTTGAATTTTCCCACAATGATATGAGTAGAAATAAAGACCTAGACGCTGTGGCCCCTATTTTGGTCGCAGTCACCTTTTTGTGTATATATAAATGGTCTGACCTCGTTTTCGCAGCTTGGTCGTGTTGTCAGGACGACTTAGTTGGACGCATCTTGTCAGAAATCCTCTGCCATACTAGCTAACATAATCCCCAGCGTCGGCTCCTATAATTGGTACATCCTCAGTTTCGTCGCAATCAGAAAACAATATACCGAGAAGATGGAATGTATACTGAGACAGGACCAGGTATCGTGTACTAAAGCAGGATCCAACTATGAAGATAAACTAAACCTT